CGGCGAAGTCTAGAGTTGCATGTGTGCGCGTCTGTGTGAAGACTCGAGATTGAGGAGCACCACTGCAGCGTGTTTGCAGCTGCACCTTGTATACTTGCCGTTTCAGTAAGAGTAGTACTACCACACCGAGCTACCAATCTGGCTGTACGTATGCATGTGAATTGGTGCGTCTACGATGGTCTTGGACGTGCTGTACGTCGAGTGGAAGGTATTGACGTTTACGCAAGTCACTCGAGGCTACCGGCATCGGCGCACAAAATGATGATTGGGCTTGGCTGTGGGTATCAGGTGCACTTGCACGTGCACGTGCACGTGCTCACTTTTGTCAGGAAAGGCCGCGGAAGGGGAGCTTATTCTTGATTTTGATTTCCATCTTTACCTTCACCCCTTTGCCAATCAAAGACCGAATCTGAATGCTCCGAAGATCCCGCGGGTCGCCCATCTGGCCTAATCACCTACCTGCCTACATCTCTTGGATTATGCTGTGCGGCCACGGCCAGAAGGATGATTTGCGTAAATTGCCGCTGCAATCACAATCTGCTATTCGATGCATAACATGCTCTTTGCTGATGGTGTCGGGGTAGACAGCAAGCGTGTCGCACCTTGAAGTCACGTTTGAGCCCCCGCCTCGCCCCCGCCCGCGCCCCCTCCCTTTTTGACTGGACACCGCCCGATTCGAGCGCGCAAAAGTGGGACGATTCGTGATGAGCTGCTCTGCTCATCTCGTGATCGTGCGTGATCTGGGATGAAGCAGCGCATACAGTCAGACTCAGAGTTAGTTATGCAAGCAGCATCTATAAGCGTGCAGACATGCATGCCATGGCATAAGAAGGTGCGCGTCGGAGCGTGTTTGCGTGCGCGTGCGCTAACAGAACAGCGGCTCGACTCGACTCACGCACGACTCAAAGCGACAGCATCGCCACGCCACTGCTGCAGACGCGATCGTCTGAGACGCATGCATGTGGGGCGAGATTCGGTCGGTCTGCTGGTGCGCGCGCGTGCGTGCATGGATGCTGACGCACTCATCGCGCCCCAGCTGCAGGCGCTTGCGCACGGTCATGCGACTTTTGGAGCTGCTCGAAGAACTCACTCGCACTCCTGACTGCTGGCACATCTTCTTCCTGTCCACCATCATCAACGCGTCGACGATCACACGCGACACCACCTGCCATTCCACAAGCATCACTCCATTCGCGCCAAGCTCCGAGCCAGGATGGTTCAGACTCGGTGAGTGTCTGTCCGATTGGGTGGCGCACACAGTCGCACGCATCAAGACTCACAAAAGGCTGTGTGACACGCTGACTCTGATCCTCGTGCGGAATACACAGTGGGCAATCGCGCACACCTAGCAAAAAGGGTGGCAAGGTGGCCTTGAACGGCTCACCAGCGCTTGACCCGGATACGCCTTCTCCAGCACCTCGCACATCCTCTCGCGCAGCTCTGCAAAAGCACGGCCAAGATGTCTTGGCTCCCAAGTCGCACGAGTACGAGTTTGGAGGACCGATTGGTGCTTTGGGAGTGACGCTAGCAGTGCCATTCTTCAGCTACGCCATGTTCTTTTTCTGCAACGAAAATGTCGGCTGCAGCGTCACGCCGAAACATTTGGACTTGATCTGGAAACAATTTGGCGTGGGCTTAAAGGAGAGCTTTTTGGATGTGCAAGGTTGGGCCATCTACTTTGCTTGGTATGCTTTT